ATGAACAAAAGCCTCTGCTTAGTGTTTCTATGGAGATTCCTTAATTTCATTCTTTTTAATTTGAGTTTAGAAATAGGCTTATATATTACTTTTTTATATTCTCAAAGAAAATATATTAACAGCGCCTTTCATACCAACGTAAAGGGTACTATATAATTAACAATTATAATATTATTGACTTTCATTATTACATATGGAATTCCAAATCAATTCAATAACTTCACTTCAAAGGAACAGATAGACTCTGACATGGGTTCTTACAACTGCATAATTAAAAAGACAAATATCACATGGCCTAAGAGATAAAGAAACACAAATGTATATGCAACGTCTAAAGACTGTAATTGGTTACTAAATAAGAATTAATATGATAGCGTATTTTATTATATTTTTTTTTTATTTTACACGTGTTTGGACAGTTTGTGCATAATAGCGAAACACTGTTCATGGATACAGCCTCTACACCTAATAATAATAATCATTTATAAATCTCAGCGATACTATTTGTTCCTGATATTTTTTCACATGAAAAATGATCAGGATGGAGTAAGGACATCTGCTCCCCATGGAAGTCCAAGGGAAGTCCACGGGAGTGTTCATATACCCACAGGTTATTCAGCGCAAAACTATATTTAGTGTTTTGTGTTTATATTCTAACGGGTAGGCCTACCTATGCATACTCCAGCGCGTGAATAGAAGTCCACGGGGGTGTTCATACGCACAAGTTATTCAGCGCAGAACTGTATTTTTGTGTTCATATTCTAGCGGGTAGACCCACCAATGCATACTCTCGCATGAAGAGAGCTAATTGAGATAAATTTGCCTCTTTTACACACACACACACATTATAACCAGTTTATTTGGATCTATAATCCTACTTCCATGCTTTTGTATAGCATGCTGTATATACTCTTCGATTAAATTACGGCCGCACATATTAATGAGATTAAGAAAGAAACTGATAGAAGACGTTACTAATAATGAATATTTCTAATAATGATTAGATGGGACGTAATGAATTATTTATTCAAAAAGAAGATAATGGTTTTCAATTGTGATCATATCGATGACAGGTTATGAAAACACACAAGGTATACTCCTAAAATATCATCAATATCTTTGCCTAAACTCAGGTCTCTGCCATAATTTTTTGTTATTCTGTAGTCAATTTTATGAGCAAACTTAGTGAAGCGTGCCAAAGGCGTGTACAAACGACATACGGGGTATGATCATTAGTGACTGCCTATTCGACCAATGCGTAAGGCATTCGATCGATACTCCTGTATATTCTGTAGATATAGGGAGCAAGCGAACGAGAGCGGTTCCACTATCACTCACTCACCGGCGCAGACAAGTGAACGTAGCTATTTACCGCGCTTTCCAATTTTTTACACAAGACTTCGCAGTTACATTCATTACCATGGCTGAAAAAAGGACCATTGATTTGAAACGATTCCAAGAAAGACTCCACAAAATGGCTGTTACTGCGGATGATTTTCAAAAAGTGTGGGAGCAATTTGATGAAGACTGTGAGTAAAGATTCTCTTCTATATCATCTAATTTCATATCATCATCTTTATTATATTGAACATAAATGGATTATAAAAAGATGATTACAATTCATGAGTAATTTCAATTCATATGCATTGAAAATGTTTTTCGCTTTCTTCAATCTTACAATTTTGTTCGTATGTAAAAGGCTCTGAATTTGTTAAGAATGACATCGTGTGTAATTATAATTTGATATTGATATCCGTTGTAGCAGGTGGAACTGTCACGTTTGAGTAAAATTTCTCTAACGATATATCTTGTTTGATTAAAACTATAAATTTTAATCAATTATTTTTAAACACACATTATTTATATTCATTTTTTATGTGGTAGATTACTTCTTTCCAAATGATTATCAACTTATTGCAACTTATTTTATGAAAATAACCAACGATAAGATATAGGTCTAGGCCTACTATTTGAATTTAGATATAACAACTTCTATAGTATAAATAATTGAGTAATTTCTTAATCAAATAATCGGACACTTGGTTCTTGTTCGATTTCATTGATCAAATATGTACATTCAATGCACAACGTCGTAACCGTAAAGAACGACTATTCAGTCCACCCGATGGTCCATAAAGATACTTTCACTCTTGTCTAATCATAGTGTTTTAAAAATATCAGCATTTAAAAAAACATGTTTTTATGATTGTTAAATAATGAAAAGAATATTATTGATGACGTCATAAGTTCAGATGTCATAGCCCCTGGAAATTTTATATTGGATGTAGTTATAACACGTTAAAACGGGAAACTTATCTACCAGTATGGTACTAAATAACACATACACACAAAAGATTTTTGTTATGACAGTGAAAAATGCAAATTTTAATTTACATTATTCAATATTGGAGGATAGTCATTCTACAGATGGATAAATAAAAAAACATAAATTATTTATAATTCAAATCTGACCTTTAGCCTTCCAACTGATTCAGCTCGCTCCTAGTTTACGATTAATTATAATTTACATGAAGTAGATTACTTTCGCCAGTGCTCTGGGATATCAAATCATAATTGTAAGACGTGTAATTTTAGACTTTTAATTAATTCCCCGGATATTATAATTAGTTATTAATGTTATTATTAATTTAGTGTATTATGAATATCATTATTATTATTATATTACTATTATTATTATTATTATTATTATTATTATTATTATTATTATTATTATTATTATTATTATTATATAGATCTATTTATAATTATTATCAGCAGCATCATTATTATCATTATTATTAATTGGGAAAAGGGTTGGGCCTGAGGAGTATGGTAAATAAAGAAAATGCAAAAATCATTGAGGATAAACATGGCACTGGGCTGCGCTGGGCTGGGCTAGGCTGGGCTAGGCTGAGCTGGGCTTGGCACATAGAAAACCTAGTAAAGATGGAATTATTTGATGATCGTGCTACTGTATGAAAGTTCTCACCCAATAAACCATTATAAATATTATTAGAAAGATGAATTTATTAATCTTGAATTCTGCTGGTATATGTATTACTGTACTCTTTTTAAATCATTCATAATGATGCCAACGTGAATATTAATTATGCATTGTGAAACATTTTCCACCAGTTGTGTTAATGTGGTCCATTAAGTTTCACGGGTTAGTAGAAGAGTATTAATGATTATAATTATGGAAATTCACCTTTCAAGGGTATCACTAATTACATTAATTACTTTAGTTGCTTCTTGTAGCTCCTACTGCTATTGTCGTGTTTGTATCAACAATAATGTACCATCTGTTATGTACAGTTTTTTTTAAATCCTTATTATCATCAATACATAATTAACATAATTAACATTAGGCCTACCATGATCATCATCGTCATTATAATTATTTTTTTTATTATTATTATCATGGTAAGTATACATGTGGTATAGTGTACCATTTCTGCTTGTATGCTGCTAGTGTAAAAATTACACGTAATTTTCTAAAGAGAGCAAAACTAAAAGAGAGCCTTCTTCCGGCAGAACTTACAATACGCTAGGTGGCGCCCTTCGACTGGAAGAGGGCGTTGGAACTACATGAAGAAAAAGTCATGTTAAGAGGAATAGATTAGAAATGTTTGGGTTTATTTTGTAAGAACCAGCTGGTAAATGAATGTAATACTACTAATGTACTAATATCATTAAACTTCTCATCTAGTCATTGCATAGGTGAAAACCCAATATATATTTAAATTTTCTATTCCGATCGATAAACTTGATTATAATAGTATAATTCGATCCTTGTAACAATCGCACTGTATGAGACTATTGTTTGATTTTTTTTTTGTTCATTCAATACTGATCAAACAGCGATGCTTGGTTTTCCCTAAACACGGATCGGACAAATAGCAATAATGAAAACTGGTGCACTTTCGTCAGTGTCTCGCAGATATACAGGCTTAATCACTGATAAAAGTATACATTAAAGCGGATTATATCGAAGTAGCGCAAGACACAGTACACAATACACATTAATATTACAATTCCCTTCAACAAGATGTTTCGCACGTTTCTACCTCTTTGGAGTAACAACCACATAACGGTCGGTTAAACAGATTTGTTTTTATTGAACTTTAACGGTTAAATAACCAAATTTTGAGCCAACTTAATTAAATAGGACTAGGCCTACCCTCTTTGTTCCAATGTTTTAAAAATGTTGGATTCATCCTGTTTATTAGCAAAATATCTGTATTAAGATCCAAGCAGTAGAAAGCATTAATAACACTTTCTGGAATTAAACCATGGTCACCCAACACCCCAAACACTAGGCTTCAGTACCATTCATAAAAGATGACACACTGTACTTGTGTACAGCGTTGGATCTAGGGGTGGCAAAAAAGGCGCTCCACTTCCCCCCCCCCCCACCCCCGTCAACCCTCACAGACAAGAAATCTATAGTGTAAAATAATTTCGATAAAAGTTTAAATTTATAATACTTCGGAGTGTCCAGGGACATAGATCATGGACCCCTAAAATTGGTAAGGGAAAACTTCTAATCCATTCAGACAAGGTGTCATGTGTGGTAAGGACAACACGTGTGTTTATCGACCCTATTGTCACCTGTGAAGCAGTGATGTTGATTTTTGGCGCCAGTTTGACCTTACTATCATGTCACATCATAATTACACTATACTGCTTTTAGGCCTATTTTTAGTCATCATCATCATCATCATCTCATATTATTATTATTATTATTATTATTATTTTCCTTTCAGCCAATGGTTACATTGAAGGTAAAGAGATTGAAACATTTCTTAGAACACTGTTAAAGGGAGACGGAGGCGGTCAAGATGAGGTGAGCACGATTTTTTTCAATATCCATTTAGTTTTATAAACAAATATCTTGGTATATGACCAAGTTGGTTTCTTGAAACCCATCCATTTACAGTATAAACGCACCCATTTACAGTATATGTATTTCAAACAAAATTTGCTTCCATTTTCATCATATTATTATATAGGCCTACTATTATATTTGTGTAGGCCTACTACTGGTAGGTTATGTAAGATAGTTTTAAAAAATGTATTTACGGCATGTATTTAAAAAAAAGATGTGAACTCATCAGTCAATTAATTTAAATATGTGTGAATATGAAATATTGACGATAGTAAAACGCCGGTTTGAACAGTTCTGATTGGCCAATGACATTAAGCATTCACCCAGCATTGCAGTTCACTAAAAGGTTACTGGCTCCTTGTCAAGAAAATCGAATTTCCTAATTATATTGTCGATGTTGGTGAAACGCTTTTGCGTTTAATTATGATGACTATCGATTGTATTGATTGTTTTCACGGCGTATACAAGAAGGAAAATATACAGTAATTGTGTATAAACGCGTTTGTTGTTAGAAGTTGACTCTCTTTAACGCAGACAAACGCATAGAACGCTACACAACCAACACATCAATTGGTCTTAATTCAGAGTGATAACTTATAATGCAGGCCAGTCACTGTGTCGCACGTCGGTCTACGACCGTCGTACGACGACTCCAACTCGGCTCCCTGTAAACGCTAGACAACGTGACGTTGTCTGCTGATTGTCGGTAGCAGAGCAGTCTGAACGCGCATCGTGGCGTGGTTTCTTGTCATTAAAAACGATCTGCTACACGTGCGTCGTACGTTGCGTTCTTCATAGAATCGCGCCGGCCGAAGACCGCCGGATGCAGGAGTGCCGGGCTTAAGATTTTATGACAAATACAGCTCAGATAATGTCTCCAGCTGTCAACTATTACTATTATTAGATGTGCTAAGTTTCAGTAATTCATGATGCAGTGGACATTGCACTGAATCAATTCCCAGTAAGTTATAATACTACTGTAGTATGAATACCATCAGCGGCTAATACGCAAAAAAAAAAGGAACGGATAAATTTGTTTTATATGGTATCTAAAAAACACTAAAGATAGAACGATGCTTGCTAAATTCATGTGAAGTTGGTGTAACATCATTCTACAAGCTTTATATTTATGTCTGACTTGAAATGGAAAACATTCGATACTCGCAACCTTCTAAAACGTGTTTTGAAAAGGTCATTCTTTTACGTTTTAAATTCTAATGAGGTTTTATAAACTCAACGCGACCGATATTTTCGGTGCGAATAAACGAAAACTAAATGCATTTTAATCTCTAGCAATTACTATTACATAAAATGTTGGCTCATTTACCAATTATAATAACAAAACTAAAATTATTGTTGAATCATAACTAGAAAGAATAATGTTTCCATTACTTTGCGTCCAACAGTCAAAATGGATAGATATCAATACTCTTGGATCACTAAGTGATAATCCCCTTGGGCAAAAACATACTGTCTAAAATATAATATACGGTACGGTACATTATACAAGCGAAAGTGTGTAATATCACTCGTGGAATTATTTGATGTACAAGTTCTATTTCAGAAACAGATATTTTACGGCAATGATTATTCCGTGCAGCGTAGGTATACCACAACCTCACAACCTTCCCATCTTAAAACATACACGGTTTGGTAAACTTGCTTCTTGTCTAAAACAATGTGTAAAAGATTATAAATATTAATAGTTAATGTTTATATCAATTAATCTTTAGCCCAGAATAATTAATACATGTATTAACCTAAAGGCCAACTCAGACAGCGTCGGCCGACGCAGCCCGACGCGATTTGTTGTCGCGTCGGGTCTGTGTGAGTTGAACGCAGACGCGATGGTGTGCGTTGGGGCAAGGTTTGTTGAATTACCTTGGTTGGGGGCAGTCGCGTAGTAGTTTAATATTTCTCACGACGGCTTAAGACTGTCCCCGACGATAAATCGGGTCGGGCTGCGTCGTCCGACGCTGTCTGAGTTGGCCTTAAGATGTTACTGGAATTTCATCACGCGCCGAATGGTACAGAATACCTACATTTTCCTCTTAAGCAAGATTAAGAAAACCAACAGATTAAAAACATGACATCATGTAATTTAGTCAACTTTGTCGTCCGTGGGGGATCATTAAAATGTGAGTTTCCATCAAGGTAGTTATATCCAATCAAATGAACAGCCAGTATTGGTGCATCCTTCCGCGAAGTGTGAACAATTCGGCTCACAAATTCCGTATCGTATACGGTAACCTACAGATATACGATAAGTCAAAAGTTAGCGATCCCATCGAAAAACCTAATCATAAACAAATAGGCCTAATATAACGAAAAATTACATCGATGTATTATCTTGATTTACTTCACTCAAGGGACATCTTCACGGATGTTAGTCTAATATTACACACATATTTGTATCAATATAATTTCTAATAAGTCATGTATAATCTGCAGTCTGCCAAAAAAAGGTTGTACCCTTTCCAGTACATGCGTTATTTTATAATGTACATTATAACTGCAGGTTGTGGCACTGAATAATAACTAGGGGCGCACAATATACAACTTTACATTACAGGTTGCCTGTACTGTTTGTGAATTAAGTTTAATTCATTCAAAAATACACTGATTTCTATTGACGTAATAGGCCGTACGGCTATTTGAAATATGCTCATTGTATAAACACGACGATAATCTTGTGTAGACATAATGCATGTCATATAAATTATTATTCTATGGTATATAATCATGTTTATTTAATCAATGGTAAATCGTTCATAATGAGAACTGTTTTGCTCAAACGTATGATATAGTTACACTACCAAGAAAATTCTCTTCGGCTAAAAATATTCCAGAACCATTTTTGTTTTGTATTTTCTTCGAAAGGTCGCAGTTGATTGACAATAGGCCTACAGGAAAATGTAACATGAATTTTATTAAGTAAATCTAAAACTAAAGAACACAATAAATACAAAAATAAAAAGGAAGAAACAACGTTCGTATGATAAAAAAAAAAACAACAACAACAAAGATGCCCATTCTCAATATGTCAATCATGTTCCAAATTCGATAGCTGACGATCAATGTTAATTGAACCCCGTTTTCCAAATATATCTAGCTCTACTTCTTAAAAATTACAAGTCGAATGATTTCATTCACACGATTGTCTTGCATTGAAAGTGGGCAATAAACGAACACTCGAGTATCAAGGACACCCAGTGTCTTGTAATTGCTGACAAATAGAACTTAGACATGTAGATCAATAGTAATTAAACACCATGTCAGTAAAATACATTTACACACTTAAACCGGGCACTCGCTGCGTCGTACAGCGGTCGTACGACTGTCGGCCGAGCCCCGTGAGCGCTAGACGGCGCGGTGCCGGCTGCTCATTGACGGTGGCAGTTTGAACGGGTCGTCATTAAAAACTACCCGTTGCACGCGCGTCATGGCGTTGCGTAAAATCGTGTCGGGCGACAGCCGTCGGGCGTAGTGACTGCCATGCTTTACAGTGTTTAGTATAAGCAAGGAGTTACTCAAAGCCCCATATTCGTAATAGAAGTATTGTTTATAAACATAATTCGAAGATGTTCAAAACTACGATTGGAAACGTTTTATATTACATTATTGTCGACTATGGCAATTACCTTAGGTAATGCCTCAAATAAAATGCGTCAAAAGCAGACGTTACATTGGTATTCACATTTGTACCCGTTTTTAACCATTGTTTATAAAACAGCTTAGATTGTACCATTCCGGCAGAAAAATTATATTTGGTAACAAGTAAACTGATTTCGTGCCGTCTGTACACATAGGAGTGATAAATAGGCCTAATGCATTACAATATCATAAATATTCATGAAGTAATCACGCATCCCTTTAGCAATTGCCATTTTGGAACAGCAAGCTATAAGCCCTTCGGTAAAATAGTTAATATAGAATCCGATTAACAAAAATATTCAAAAGGGCTGTATTTAGAAGTTAAAACACGTTTACGACAGACTGCTCCCCGCAACTCAACTCCCCGAGCCTTGAAGTCCTTTAAAGATCACGTGGGACCTTATCGGATTAACTTCACTTATGGCAAAAATCGTCTTCAAAAAACAATAATTCTTTAAAAGGCAATAATATTGATTAATATGGATATGAATGTTCATCCAAATGAGATTCATTGATCAGAATGAGCAGATTACTGTAATTACAAAACTCATCACAATCGAAGCTGTCACTGAGATATTTATAGTACACCACCCTTGCTTTAGTTTATGTATAGGTCATTTTATCTGAAGAGTGTTGCACCATTTATGTGTGGTACGAAACTAAATAGTAATAACATGTCTAATAAAATCTTCTGTTGAACATGTTTTACCTCTTATGGTGGTTCTGGTTCTACTTCTGGCTGTTTATCTACGTTTTTAGTTGTTGCTTATCAAATTTGTATCTATACCGAGATCCAACCACTGCTACTAAATTGTATAATGTATTCCTATGATCTTTAAAACGGTTCTACAGTCTGAGATAAGCTAGAGATACTTCAGTATAAGAATTCTGTACAGTATTTAATTTAAATTGATTTATAAATTAGTTCTTTCAATCGACAACAGATTTACCGTTTCTATATATCTTTGCATAGTCGTCAGTTGGATGGCAATACATTTGATTAAGTAGTTTTGCACATAATCAATAACAATATATTTTATATGACTGTTAGAATCAATACTGCTACCATTTATTGCAATTATATCTATCAATATTATGCATTTTATTAGGACGTTTATTATCTTATAGTATTAGGCCTATATAATATTAGCTTCATTGTAATTTGGTCTCTGTTGCCTAATATTTACCTAAATAAGTTTTAACATTTTAAAGTAATTGGCTATTTCTTCAAATCGAATTTATATTAAGTAGATACGTTCTAATTAATATATAATTACGTACTGTTAAATTACTAGATAAACAGT